ATGCTCTGGGGAGAGAGAGCAGGACTCACCTCCTCGATGTTATGGGAGACAGACAGGAAGAGGTTGATCCAGGGCTTCACCTGGGGCTTGATCGCCGAGTTAGTGAGCTCGTTCAGGCCTTCCTGGTTGGGGGGGAGGTAGGGAGGGGTAGGGAGAAAGGCAAGGAAGAGCAAAGGTGAGGGTGCCTGCTTGCCAGGGAGTCTTGGCTGGACAGCTTGCAAGCCTGGCAGGGCCTAGCAAAGGGGCCAAGGGGATACAGCAGCCTCCTGGTGCGGGAGGCATCGCTCGCCTCTTGTCTGTGACCCAAGCATCCAGCATTGCCTGTGTCTGGACTGGAGCTTTTACTCTGGCACCCAGGCTGCCCAGGAGTGGTGGTGGTGGGGCATTGGGAAAGGAAGGCCAGCTGACCATGCCCACCACCAGACGAAGGAGCGGCCACCTCCCTGGAAGCCCGAGACGGGGACAGAGGGGCCCAGGTCTTGGCAGGTTGAGTAGCTTGCCCCAGCCCTTCCTTCCCGTCTGGGATGTCCTGCCAGGCCCATCTAAAAAGAAGGCCCAGGGGACCTTTTGTGCTGCCAAGCAGAAGGATGCAGGGGAGGCCCGGGCAGGGAGACGGTTACCTGCAGCAGGTCACGGAACTTGCTGGAGACGCCCGTCATGTCGGAGAAGCAGCTGTCCACCTTGGCCTGCGCCTGCTCCCCTCCGAACCCTTGGCTCAGCAGCTTGGCACAGTCGCTCTGCACGGAACCACAGAGAATGAAGGGACGCAGCGGGAGACCTCCTTCCTGCTGCACTGATTCAGGATTTGGCCCTCGTGCGTAGGCAGGGAGGCCCACCCAGAAGGCGAAAGATGCAGCAGTGAGACACTCAATGAAAAAAAAACGGACCCTTGAATCTCGCCGCTGAGGCCTGCGGCAAGGGGGATTTGAGGGAAGCAAACAGGCAAGCTGGAGATGGCTGGCAGACGCAGCAGAAAGCCACGCGCAGGAGATTCCCTATCTTTGGACAAGGTGGATGTTTCGTAAACTGTACCTCCAGGGTCTTCTTGAGGGTCAGGATGTTTTCACTACAGGCCTCCACATTGTTTAATGTCACCTGAAGGAAGAAGAAACGGGTTAGACTTCTTTGCTGTTTCAGTCCCTGGAAGAGCGTTGGATTACTGGAGGTGGAAGAAGGGAAGGAGAGAAAGAGAAGCGTTCCTGTGACTGTCGCTGGATCCCGGAGAGAGAGAGAGAGAGAGACAAGGAAGCTCAGCAGGCTGACGGGGAGGCCCCGGGCACCGAGCGGGCCACTCACCAGGAAGGACTGCTTGGCCTCATCCATGCTTTCGATGCCTTTGGTGTCGAACTTGCCCTGCTGAAGGCTGCTGTGCATGAGGCTGACGGCACTCGTCACGCCCCTTTGGAAGTCTTGGAAGGTGGTGGCCGGGAAGCCCGTCTTGAGCTTGTTGCACAGGACTTCCCTGCAAAAGGCGAGGGGGGGGCAGGAAAGGAGGGAGGGGGAGGCTGCTGCAGGCGACACCAGCTGGAGCCTTCTCTCCTTTCTCCCCCCCCATCTGGAAGAGTTTGCCTCTCCCAGCTGGAGGCAACCCAGGCCCGGTGAGCAGGGGCAGGCCCAGTGGCGGGAGGCAGGGCACAGAGCACCCCCCTCCCTCCCTCTCATCCCACAGCCCGAGAAGCACGGCCGGCTCTCCGGCACCCCCACCCCTCCGACAGGCTGCCTCTGAAGTTCTGCTCCCAGGAGGGGATCCGCCAGGCAGGAGCCTACCCGAAGTCTGACTCCAGCTCGGTGATGGCGTGGTTGATCATGGCGCAGAGGCAGTCGATGCTGGAGCTGGAGAGAGCCCGCCCGATGCACTTCTTCACAATGTAGAACACGTCGTCCACCATGCTGGAGGTCAGCTGGCCCTTTTCGCACGTGTCCATCGCAACAGCCTGGCGGAGGTGCCAGAACGTGGATACAGGGAGAGACACCCAGGCGGGCCGACTCAGCCGCTGGTAGAGGACCGGCTTCCAAGAGCGACCTAAAGGAAGGGGACCCAGGCGGCCGCCCCTGTGCCTGTGCTCTCCCTGGCCTGCACCCCAGGGGCTCCACCTCACCAGTCACAGTCACCGCAGTCCTTGCTGGGCTTCGTGTTGTGAGGCATCCATCCAGTGGGAGAGTGGAAGGTCAGGTGCCTGCGGGACCTTCCTTAAAAGGGCTCAAAGCACACCCGGCCCCAGGCTCCCCACCCCCATCATGAGACAGTCCGGTGAGCTGGCCCTTTCCAGGCAAGGAAGGGGCGCACCAGCCTGCAGCTGGGCCTACCTTGTTTACCGTCTCCCGCATGAAGTACTCTTCCATGGTGATGTAGTAGCCGATCAGCTCCTGCATGGCGCAGCTCAGGAGGCAGTGGTTGAGCAGCTTGTCCAGGCACTTCTGATGCTCTGTGTGGCCGAACCAAGAACCGTCCCAAAGGTTCAACCGGGGGAGGATGAGCCCCTCCCCCCCGCAAGTAATGCCAAACCATAGATGGATGAGACTGTGTGTTCTCGTGGCAGCCTCTTCTCAGCAGCCCACACGCGGGCTGATCATAGGGTGGCACCCTCCACACTTGAACAGGTGGGCCCAGACAGAGTTTTCAGGTGGGGGTTTTAGGGGTACGGCTAGGGCATTGCCCCTGTGTCTCCCTCCCTCCCTCGCCTCCCGCGGGTGAAGCAGCAAGAGCTTTAACATTGGGGAGGAGCCTAAGCAGCAGGCTTCTTACCATTCTCCTCCTCCAGATGAAACTGGATTCCCATCAGCCCCAGCCAGAAACTCCCGCCCTACGACATCTGAAGAGACCCACCACCTTCAGGAAACACTTCCTAATGTCCTACAATTCTCTCGGGTTCAAAGCTACCGCCAGCCATGGAGGCTTGACCCTCAGACCAAGCCAGCCACCATCCAAGTCTTGCCCAGCATGCCCCCCCCAAACACCCAGGCCAGGTAGTTTGACAAACGTCTGAGGGCCCTACCTTGCTTCACCTCCTCCGAGGCCAGAGAATCTGCCACTTCGAAATCGGAAGTGATGCGTCTCCTTAGGAACCTCAGGTACAACTCACTCCGCGCATTCATCAGGGTGACCTCTGTTAAAATGGGATCCAGCTCCCTAGGGAAGCGAAGCCAGGAGTGGGGTGGGGATGGGAGTGGCTCGCGGGGGCAGCTGATCAGATGCTAACACTACTTTAGCGAGTGCCCCCCCCCGCTTCTGGCGAGCCTTCAGTGAGGTGATGCAGCCGAGGCAGGAACAAGGCTGGCAGCAGGGAAGACCTTGGTGGAGGAGCCCCCAGCCAAGCCAGTCTTCAAAAGAAGCTGCCTTCAAGGTGGGCAGAGAGGAACAGCCTCCCCACCCCCCCACCCCGGTGGTTTCTGGAGTGCCCTCCCCAGTGCTTGTCTGCCCTGAGAAAGAACAGCCCTTTGGGAGAAGACGCTCTTGGCCGCTCACTCCCCATCCAAGGCTGCCCAGAGGATGGCGGCTCAGCAGAGGGATCACTGGAGAGCCCTGTTTGGCCCCTGGGGAAAAGGGCCCCCTTCCTTCTGGCAACTGTGCCACCCTGACTAGCAAGTGGAACAGGGACAGACGTGGCCGTTGCGGCTGCCCTACCTTGGCTCAATCTTTTCTGCCACTGAGCTCCTCATCATGCTGTTCTGAACGTGCTGGAACTGTAAGCAGAGACGGAAAATAGCTGCGAGGCTCCTCTTCCTCCTTCTCCCAGAGCCCCAGCCACCTCCTGCGGGAGAAGATGCTGGAGAAGGGGACTCAGAGAGTCTGTAGCCAAGGGAAGCCTGTCCTCTCACTGGGGGCAGGGAGGGGGGGGTCCACGCACAGCCTGAGGAGGAGAGCCGCTTCAGGAGAGGACTGATGAACAAAGCAGCTCAGTCCCCGCCACAGAGTTTGCCAGGTGGGGCAGAAGAGGTCCAAAGGAAGCTCTCCCAGTGAGGTCTTCAGAGGGCCTGAGGGTTGCTCCTCCTGCATCAGCCAGAGTCTGGACACAGGCCAGAGGCCAGTCCTGTTTGCCAGAATCGGCGGAGGGGAATGGGTGGGTGGAGTGGCAAGCTGCTCTGTCCCCCCCCCCCCAGCACATCACTCACCTGCCTGTGGTAGTCTCGCTGCTGGATAAACTTGTCCACAGTTTTCTCTACCTGTCGGTCGCATTCTGCCTGCAGGTGCTTGATCAAGGTGTAGAGCCGGCCTGGCCCATAGTAGGTCTCCACGATGGGCTGGTGGGTCTCCACCACACGAGCAATCCCTGGGGGAAGGAGGTCCAGAGGTCCAGCCATTGGCTCTTGTGGATGCCTGGGCTCTTTGGGGAGCGCCTTGTCCCTTCCTGGCCGTGCGGGCGGAAGGGCTGGGCCCTCGCCAGAGCGCAGCCTAGAGAGCCCAAGCCCGTCCACCGGCCCCTTCGTCTGACAGGCACCTCCCAGCGGCCTGAGCAAGCGCAGCCTGCCCGGAGGCTGCTCGTCCTGGCTGACAGAGGCAACGAACCGCCAAGAGAAGGGAAGGGGGGCAAAATAGAGGGAAACCCCCCTCCCCTTGGAAGGGCCCGGTCACATTGAAGTACCTGTTAGTCCCAAACAATGCCACTCAGGGAGATCTTAGCACTTTCAAATGCAAAAAACAACCTGGGCATCTTTATTTCCCTCAGGACAGTCCTGTGGGCGGGGGAGGAGCCAAAGGCTACCTTGACCAAGAAGGCTACCATGGCCAGGAAGGGAAAGCGGCCACAGGTCCTGCTTCCAGTTCCAGCCATGCTGGTGGGAATGCTCCACTAGCCAAAGGACGCTGAGCCTGGCACACTCGGGGTCTTGCAGGGACTGCCGCCTCAGGTGACAGGCCGTGTGGTCAGCAAGAAGGCAGGGCATCACCTTCAAAGAGGAGAGTTAGGGTGTCGGCAAAGATGACCGCAGCCCTGCGGTCCGTCATGTCGGTCTTCATCACCAGCTGCAGGTTCTCTTCTGCCTTATTGGCCACCTGAGAGAGAACGATAGCATCCGGCCTGCTTAGTCACCCTGTCACAGCCTTAGGCCAGCCAGCCAGATGCTGCTCTGGACCTCTGAGTGAATGTCTGCTGAGCGGCACCATTCCAAATTTCAGATGGTTCGACAAGCCAGCCATTAGCAGTTGATAGCAAAATAAACCAGGATAAGAGCAAAGGCAGTAAAATAAAAGATTGCGGTCGGACTGAATGATGTTTAATATCTGGAAGGAAGCAGGGCTCTCTGCGTGCAAAGCTGGTATCCTCCTGAGCTGTTTTTGGCTCAAGCCGGCAGGAGGAGAAGGTGCCCAAGCCAAATGCGATCCAGACCTGGCCCCACTCCCCTTGCACCCAGAACAGCTGGCCCTCAGGCATTGCAGGAAGGCCTGCAACACAAAGAAGCAGAAAATGCCTCTCCGCTGTGGTTCTGCCCACCAGCCCTGCCACCAGGCCCACCTGTTTGCAAAGGTATTCGGAGAATTTGCTTAGTCCTTCCTCGTGCAAGCCAAGCAACGGGAAGATCTTGAAGAAGCGTTCCACCTGCGGCAGGTCTGCCTGTTCTGTAGCCATATTGAACTTTTCTGTCACAATGGTTTTGAGCCGCTGCTCTGCCTCCTGCAGGAGCTTCAGGTTGGCATCTATGATGCTGCCTGCCAAGAAAGGAGAGATGATGGCGGAGCCACCTCAGTCTCCCAGCACTGGAAATGGGAGAGGAAGGGTCAGAAAAGGAGGTTGATGTGGCTCTTGTGTTTTGGTTCACGCTCCCCAGAAATAACACAGAGAAGACTCTCCACCCCCGGCCCGCCCATCCTGCTTCCCCGAAGGCTTCTCCACGGTGGTTCCCACAAGTTCCAGCCAGCAGGCGGGCAAATGGGGAAGGATCATGGAAATGTAGTCCAGTGACCTCTGGGGGGGGGCAGCACGTGCCCCACTCCGCCCAGCTCTACTGGCCTTGTCACATACACAAAACGCAAGTCAATAAAATCCAGTACCTTCTCGGCCCTGCCTGCTCAGCTCAATGACAGACTTATCCAAAGAAAGGTAGCGATGAATATGAGCAGCGGCTTGTTCATAGTCTTCGTTCCTCAGGGCACTCTGAACTCCATCCATGCAGAACTTCAAGTCCAAAATGTCATCTGCTCGCTGGATGGCTTGATAAAGGCGGTTCTGCAAGAGGGGTGTGTCATGAGCTGCCCTCCGAAATGGGCAGAGAAGGGAGGGCAGGAGGAAGACCTCTGTTCTAACATGCCCTGCTTTACAGGGAGGGTTCAGCCACTCGCTGACTTTGCCCCTCTTCCTGTGGACAATTCTCTTAACCCTTCCCTAATTTTTTGGTAAGGCCTGCTCAGCAAGAGCACGTGACCCCAAATCCCTTCCTCTACTCATCGTAGACAAAAGGGAGACACAGGCTCTCGCTCTCCCCACAGAGACCGAAACGACAAAGGATGGGGAAACTCATGAGAAGGCTGTTGCCCTGGCAGGCACCAACTTAGGGCATCAGAGGCCAAAGAGGCCCACCCCTCAGTGGAGCCACCTCCCAAGCTCTTGCCCTGTCAGGCCGGATACCTTGGCAAGGTCCAGCTGGCGAACTTTGCTGCTGACATTCTCAGCCAAGTTGCAGGTGAACGTGATCATCCCGGCCAGCTGCTTGGCGTCTCCTTCGATCAGCAGCAAGTTCGGACTGGAAACACAGGGGGGAGGGGGAGGAGGGCGCAGCATCCGCATCAAGGGCTGGCACAGCCAGGGTGGCCACCTTCCACCACCTCCCATGCCTGGCAACTGGGGGGGTGGGTTCTTTGCACCGCACTAGGACCGTGCCCAGTGTGTTACTAACCCCATGCGATGCAGGGTAGCCATCTTGCTTTCAATTGTGCCCTGCTGTTCCAGAAGCGTCTCCAACTCTTCCTCCACTGTTTTCTGAAGACAAGACAAAAACAGAGGGCTGGAGGTTTGAACAGGGCCCCGATTCTGCTGCAGAGTTGCATCAATCATCCAGGCGGCTTGGGGAACACTCCAAGGCCTGATCAGGAGTTCTTTAAAAGGTGGGCAACGGTGCTTTAAAGATAAAACGGCCTTTATGAGCTGCCCTCAAAGTGGTGGTAGGGAGGGTGAGTGGCACCTTCCTATGACCAATAACCCCAACTCCCATGCTGCTGCACCTCTTCGTCCCACTTCTGGGGAGTCCACTGGAAGCCACCCCAGAGAGGGAGGGCCGAGCCCCCGCCCGGGAAGCAGGACCGAAGTCTTGCAATGGGCTGGTGGTGGGCTTCCCTCCACCCCGAGATCTGAAGGCTGGCAAGGCGGACTTGGCTGGGGCTGGGTGTGTGTGTGTGTGTGTGTGTGGGTGTGTGTGTGTGTGTGTGAGAGAGAGAGAGAGAGAGAGAGGCTATGGTGGGCGATCCCCTCCGGGTTTCAGGGCGAATCCTGCCCTCGAGGACCTCCCCCGACGGGGCCTTGCGGGGCTAGGCTGCCTGGCGGCCCCAGCCCCGCCGCAGGATCCGGGCGCCCTTCAGCACCTCGGAGATGCTGAAGGTAAGGTGTGTCACTTTCTAGGGTGAGTTTTGCTTGAGTGGTAAAACCACGCAAACAGAGACTGAATGCCACAGAATCGCATTCAAGAAGGCCTGTTCGTTCTTTTCAAGCCTGTCATGCTTGGATACAGACCCACTGGTGTCCCAGTTTGGAAATGGCAGGACTTCCTTACAGCCATGTTTCCATGGCTTGTAAGCAGGTGCAGCGGGTAGATTCTTTCCCCTGCTCCTGCAGGCCATCATCCGTGATATAGGACACGCCTTGCTCTCCAGGAGATCCACTCTGTCAGGAAAGAGAGAAGGAGGAAACTCAGCATTTGTCCTGTTTATTTGACAGGCATGTTCCTTGCTTGTAATAGTTCGCCGCCGCGTCCCTCAGCCCGGCGCCCGAAGCCCCCGCGGTCCCCGGCGCCGCCATCTTGGCCTGCCGCCGCTCCTAGAGGCAGAAAAGGATAGAGCTGGGAGGGGGGATGGCACTTGCGAGCTCCCCTGGGACGCGATTCCCCTCCTCCTCCTCGGGACAGGAGCGGGCGCCGCGCGGCCCTGAAGGGCCAGGCTTGGTCGTGGAGGCGCCCCGGCAGCGAAGACAGCCCGAGGCCGCCTTGAGGCCACCGGAGGCCAAAAACGTCCAGCAGGAACCCAGCGGCCTCTGCCGCGTGTCAGTCTACTCGTTAAGTAGTCTATGTGCTCACCAGGGGACCTGCCACGCCAGTCCCTTCGAAGACGGTCGCCCCGCCGGCGCCTGCGCGGACGAGGCGACGCTGCTCTCTTCCGGCCGGAGAGGAGCAGCGCGATTGGCCCTGCTGGACAGGCACGGAAAGGGGCAGCCCTGCCGCTGCGACTCGGCTGAGGAAGGTCCCCGAGAGCGCGGGAGGCGACGGAGGAATGGCGGAGCCGGAGTGCGCGCCGTGGAGGGAGTGAAGGCGCCCCGGGATCCGTCGCCATCCGCGCCGCCCGTGAGGTCAGCACGGTCGAGGAGGAGCCCTGCGGGGCTTCCCGGGTCGCCACGGGCCTGGGCCGCCGAGCGGCTCCGGCGGGAAGTCGGGAAGGCAGGAAAGAAGGGGCCTGGGGCCTCCGGAGGGGGCGGCGGCGGCGGCCTGGCCTCGGGTGGGCCGCGTCCCGCCCTCCCGTGGCTGCTGCCGGTGCCGGTGCTGCTCCGTGGGCTTCGTGTGGGTAGCGGGAGGCGGCCGGACGTTCCTGTCTGGAGGGAGAGCCGGAGCCGCGCTTGGCGGCCCTTCTTCACACGCACCGTGGTTGGCTTTTGCCCCTTGGCTTCCTCTCGGGGCCTTTGGGTGCGGGGCGCCCAGCGTAGTGTGTGACCCTTCCTGCCTCTGAGGAAGCGGGAAAGCTGCGCCAAGATTCGTCTGCTTGCCCTGAAAGGCGCCGCAGGGCCGAGTTTGCCCCTCTCTGCCTTTGCGCTGCAAGAGTGAACAGTCCGGGGTTGGGACCTCCTCAAAAAATTAGGGAAACAACCAGTTTTTAGGCTGTGGTCTTTCCCATATTTGGCAGGCATCTTGTTTGCTCGTTTTTGTAGTGTGTAAGTTCAGGAAGGAAGGGTTTGCTTGCTTGCTTGCTAGTTTGTTGCATAAACATTGCTGCTTGATTTCGGAAGCTGCACTATTTTAGATAGGGTACAAGGAAGCAGAAAGGATCCATTCGTTTTGCGGTTACTCTCAGTAATTGTTTGCCTATTAAGGCTTCAAATTCAGTGACAGACAGCCTTTGTCTGGGTGAAAGTGTAACGCCTAATATGTGTCTTAACCATCTTGTCCTTTTGCATAGGTGGACTGAGCCAGACCAGCCGGCACCATGTTTCTTTATAACCTAACTTTGCAGCGAGCCACTGGCATCAGCTATGCCATCCATGGCAACTTTTCAGGTAAATGTTGTTCTTATATTACGTACATCTGTGCTCAGTTGAAAAATCTAGCCTTAGGGGCTGCATTTTCTTTTTCTAAAGCCATGCATTCATATTTCTCATTATGAGACAGCAGGCACTCTGAGAGGAGGACAGTCTCTTAGGCAGACAGAATGCAAGGTCTTGGCTTTATGATTTTTTTTCTGGCTAAATGGGCAAAAAAAAACCCCTGCTTCACTCTGCTTCAGATTTGCTGTATTTTTCTTTTAGTACACTTAGTGCAGGGCGAGCAACTTTTGTCTGTGCGGGGTACACACCAGTGAAGGTTAAGGGCCTCAGGATGATGGACCTTGCCTGAGTTGGTAATGGTTAGGTGTAGGTCTAACCATTGACATTATACTTGCCCCCACCGCAAACACTGGCTTCCTCATTGTCCCTCACTCCCTAGGTAGTGGCTTGTGCTGGTGGGAGAGTGCCCATAGCAGCCTCGTTGCAGTTGCACTCTCCTGAGTCCACCTGATTGCTGTCTGTGAGGAGGAGCACAGTTGTGTGGGGTGGAGACCATGCCGGTTGGGTAGTTCCCCAGACACCTTCCTCCTTGGGAAAGCCACATTTTCTCAGGCCTTCCAAGGAGCAGAGCGCTAGGCTTGTGGGACATGACTGCGGGGTTAGCTTATGTGCTAGCCTGAGGCCATACTAATGGTGTGGCCCAGGGAGAAGAAATAGGGTGAGTTGGGCTCCAGCCTAAGCACATCCTGTTTCAGGCACATAACTGTCATGCCTCAGGTATGGTGGGCAGCCATCCTGCTTGCTTGCCAGAGTAGAGCGCTTTGGATAAAGCAGGTAGCAGTGCTGTGAATCCTCCAGCTTTTAATCAAAGTTTGGAATTCTGATGTCTGGCCTTCCCAGGCTGATAAACCATTGTCTGGGAACAACTGCTGTTGGGTTTCTGTCCCGGGAGAAGAGATCCCAGCCGCATCTCTTTGCAGGAACCCGTCTTTGGGGCAACTTGTGGGGGGCTGTAGAAGGCATGGTAGAGGGGCAAGGGTCGATAGCCCACATTGCTGTCTTGTTTTGGCAACCATCAGCCTTCCTGGCTGCTGATCAGGTTGTTCTTTTCAGGTACAAAACAGCAAGAGATTGTTGTTTCTCGGGGGAAAATTTTGGAATTGCTTCGTCCTGATCCGAATACTGGGAAGGTTCACACCTTGCTGACGGTGGAAGTCTTTGGAATTATTCGTTCCCTCATGGCCTTTCGTTTAACTGGTGGGACCAAAGACTACATTGTGGTGGGCAGTGATTCAGGCCGTATAGTCATCCTGGAATACCAGCCCTCGAGAAATGTGTTTGAGAAGATTCACCAGGAAACCTTTGGCAAGAGCGGCTGCCGGAGGATTGTTCCTGGACAGTACCTGGCCGTGGACCCGAAAGGACGAGCTGTCATGATCAGTAAGTTGTGTTTCTGTGTGTGTGAGCGAGCGAGCGAGCGGGGGAGAGCGGAAGGGGAGCGCTGAGGGCTGTTGGTTCCCTTTTAACCTCAGGCGGTTTTGCTTTGCTGGACTCATGCTGTAAAGGAGAACATAATGAAACATAGGGGCTCCCTTAAAGGTTGCCTGTTAAGTTTGAGGCTCAGGTTATGAGGGAACCAGGGACTCCCTGGTCTAAGTTCCCGGCTGTTGCACTTGGGCTCCCTTGCTGGACTTAGTCTTCATCAGAAGGATGGATTCCACGTTATGGCAACCTGTGAAGGAAGCAGTTCTAACCCGCTCTCCCTTGTGCCCTTGTGGCAACGGGGCCTGATTGGGAAGCTGTAGGCAGCTGCAATTACTTAGGCTGCACTGGAAGCCGGGCAGAGCCACGTGTCCGGATTCAGGCCCCCACTGAGCCACAAAGCTAACTGGGTGATCCTGGGGCCGGTCTCTCTTCTTTGCCTGACCTGCTCAGCAGGGTTGATCTTACAAGGATGATGTGGGCGAGAGGAGAGGACACCCCCCTCAAGCTCCCTGAGGTGAAGATTGGGTACTAACATGGAGTGCTCCTTTGGCCTTGGAGCAAGTGGTGTATGCTTTCCTGGGCCTGAAATGATGATTAAGAGTTCATGTCTCTTCTCTGAGATGAAACATGGAGATACTTGAATCCATTTCTGATCAGGCTCTTGTTAGAAGTGCTTATTTCCCCCCTCCAATCTTTTGTCTAAAAAGTATTTATTGGTTAAAATAGTGGCGGGAGGGGGAGTGTCAGTATGGAATGAATTAAAGCTGCAGCTGTACAGAAAAACAACGACAACAGCTTCTTGGACGTAAAGTTGTGACTGGCATCTTGTTTGCCTCCAGGCCAACCTCTGGTGCTGTGGTTGTGCAGTCACAGTAGTTTAAACGTAGCGGCGCTATGGCGGCTGTGCTCTTTGGTTTCCTTCTGCCTCCTGGACGTTGCAGAATTGCTGGCCTTGTGTGGAGACAGCCATAGGTTGGAGTTGGGTGCTATTCCTCTCCCTGGGCTGGTTGCAAGAAAGGGAAGTGTTTGCACTGCTCAAATCTGACATCTCAATTTGGGCAAATGTTGGTGCCTCTTAAGTGACTTCTTGTTGAAAGAAGTCACTTTTGGCTCACGGGTTTGAGACGCTGACCGTTTTGAGGAAATTGTGGAACCAGTTCTTAATAATAAGCCTAGTTAGGATGCAGGTGATGCACCAAGCAGCAGCTAATCTGGAACTGAAGTCGTCGTGACCTCCATGGTCCTCTTGGAGAGGGATTACAGGTGCCCGAGGCTGGGTGGAAATTGTGCTTCTGGCCCTAACCCATGGTCCGGGGTGCTGTCGGAATGCAGCCCGTTGCTTTTTGCTCTATCCCGAGAGAAAAGTGAGGCTCCTGCTTATGCTTTCTCTTTTCCTTGTACACGGTAGGGCTTGGTATCTTTATCACACAGCAGCAGATGGGTATCCCCTTTTCTTGTTGTACTCATGATATTCTCTGTCACCTTCTTGCTTCCCCCCTTTCCTTTCTCCCCTTCTTTTTCTTCTTTCTGCAGGTGCCATTGAAAAACAGAAGCTGGTGTACATTCTGAACAGGGACGCAGCCGCCCGACTGACCATTTCTTCTCCTCTAGAAGCTCACAAAGCCAACACTTTGGTCTACCATGTGGTTGGAGTCGATGTGGGCTTTGAAAATCCCATGTTTGCTTGCCTGGAAATGGATTACGAGGTATGGAGAAGCGGGTCTCCTTTTGTTGGTCGCTGTCTGCCTCCCCTTTTCTAAACATGCAGCTTGTTTTAACCTGGTTCACTTGCCAGCTTTCACACCACTGAGTGGAAGGAAGATAAATTGCAACACTCAAGCCTTCTAGAGGGCAGTGCGCATAACCTGAGGACAGCTGCCTGAGCGTAGCTAAGCGCTGTGGGTCTAATGGGAGGAAGGCTGTTGCATGAGCAGAGAAGTTGTTTGTGTAAGGGCAGTTGGTTCTTGCTTGTGTTGACCTGGGAGGCTGCTGGAACTGTAAGATTCTTGCACTGTTTTTCTGTGAATGTCACTCCTTCTAGGAGCTGCAACCCTGTGTTGCAGGAAAGCCCTTGTGATTGGCTTCATGGACTCAACCTGTTTCTGTGAAGAAATCTGTTTTGCTTTTCACTTTAAACTCTGAAGGTGTTTTATCAGGGAAAATGTGAGCCTTAGTTTCACGGTGCGGTGTTCTGTTTGTTCTTCCCAGGAAGCTGACAACGACCCCACAGGAGAAGCAGCGGCCAATACCCAGCAGACGTTGACTTTCTACGAGTTAGATCTGGGTTTGAACCACGTGGTCAGAAAGTACAGCGAACCCTTGGAGGAACACGGCAACTTTCTTATCACAGGTATTACCGTTTGGTACCTGTTCTTCTTGGACTAAGGGAGGGATTCACAAAGTACTTAAAGCAAATGAATAAAGAAAGCGTAAAATGTACTAGATCTACTTGGCTAAAAAACTTTGGAAAGTAGTTGAGGTACACGACAAGGCAGCAATCCATGAAGGAGTAAACTGCTGCTATAAGTCAACATTTCTATGATGCCGTCCATCCTGTGGTAGGAGAGAAACTACAAGGAGTTGTACCCTGAACTATGAGAGTGAATAACTGGAAGTCCTTTGATCCTTTTAGCTGGTTTTGCGTTTTAAAAAGAGTGAAATCCTAGGTAGTTGTTTTGGGGCTTGCTTTATAAAGTGCTCTTGTGAGGGGAAACCTCCAGAAGCCAGTGGCTTCTACAGATGGCCCTTAAACGGCATCCATTCTGTCTAGTAGTACAGAGGTGCCCACCTTTGGGTCCCCCGGATGTTCTTGGATGGCAACGCCTAGAAACCCTGACTGGCACACCTGGTGGTGAAGGCTGCTGGGAATGGCTCCCCAAGACCACCTGGGTGACCCACCTGGCACACCTGGTGGTGAAGGCTGCTGGGCTCCCCAAGAACACCTGGGTGACCCAGGGCTGGGCACCCTTGTTCGAGAACGGTCCTGCCCTGCTCCTCTTACGCTTTGTTTACTCTCCACTTTGCCAGTGCCGAGGCCCCAAAGGCCGCCTTGCCGTGCTACAAAGCATGTGTCTGCACAAACTGTGCCTCGTTTCAAAGCAAGGGGGTGCCCCGTTCTGAGGGCCCGATAGACACCATGCAAGGGTTGGGGAGGAATGTGAGGCCATCCTTCCAGCAACAGAGGAAGATGGAGGAAAGAGACATCTCTGCTTCTTTGTGCCAGTTCCTCCTTCCCTACCACATCGTGACACCTGTTGAACCTGAAACAAAAGCCGCTGGTCTGTTTATTCTGAGAAGCTGCTCAAATAATTAAAATCCTGTGGGGCCGAGTGTAAAGCGTGAAAGCAGCGACTCTTCTGCCCAATTTCTTATGAAATACCTGTGTTGTTCTTTAGTCCCTGGAGGCTCTGATGGTCCCAGCGGGGTGCTGATTTGTTCTGAAAACTATATCACCTACAAAAACTTTGGAGACCAGCCAGATATCCGATGTCCCATTCCCAGAAGGAGGGTAAGAGCCTTGAAGCCCTGACAGTCCTAAACTTACGATGCCAGTAATATTCTCTGGGGAGCTGGAAAAATGTTCACCTTGCAGATGGGGGTAGAAGAAATGCTGAAAGAGCAGGCGGCTAGCCCATGCGAACGTGGAGGAAGAGAGAAGGGTGTGATAGGAGAAAGAAGTGTTCGGAGGAGGGTGCCAGGTTGGTCTCCACTGTCAGGCTAGGACGGACAGCTAGCAGCTTCCCTGCTTAGGGAGGACACGGCCCTTTGCTGTCCTGGTTTTGCCTAGCCAATGGCACCGAATTGTCTGGCAGGTATCGTGGGCGTGGGTGAGCCATGCTGTCTTGAAGCTCTTTGGACTGAAGGCCACACACAAATAATAAAATAGATTTGGGCCTACGTTGGAATGGGGCATCGTTCTTCTCCTCGAGTCCCTTTCTTTCTTGAACCAGCAGAGCAGCTGGAAGCGAAGCATTGATTTTACCTGGGAGGCCCAGGGAAGACTCCCAGAAGGGCTGCTCTCTGTTGACTGGGGAGATCTTTAGGAATCTGCCTCTGTGGAGCAGGCATGTGGCTGGAGTATCCCTTTGCTGGGGCCTCCATCCGGAGGGTGGAAAGGACCCTTCAGGAACTAGCTGGGTATCGAGGGGAAGGCGGATGGCGACGCTTCTGAGTAAGAGTCGTGTTTGTCCCGCTTTGGAGGTGGCGTCTCTCTGACAGGTGGCTCTTTTTCACAGAACGACTTGGATGACCCCGAAAGAGGCATGATCTTTGTCTGTTCCGCTACACACAAGACCAAGTCCATGTTCTTTTTCTTGGCTCAGACAGAGCAGGGCGATATCTTCAAAATCACCTTGGAGACAGATGAGGACATGGTGAGTGTCTGACAATACAGGGGGGAGGAGATGAGCAGCGTGCTGGCACGGGAGTGGGACAGCTGTGCTGTCTGGTTCATGCACAAACACCTTTGGCGATGTTTCCAGGTGACTGAAATTCGACTCAAATACTTCGACACAGTTCCTGTGGCTGCTGCTATGTGCGTGCTGAAAACCGGGTTCCTCTTTGTTGCTTCTGAGTTTGGAAATCAGTAAGTCGAACCGCCGGTTTGCTTTTCATGGGCTGCTTAAGTTTCCTGCAAGGCTTCACGGCGGGCCTTCTGAAAGGATGACAGCTGTACCCTTCCCACTGTCCTCTCGCCAGATCTGGGGATTATTTAGAGGGCGGTGGATTGGGGCAGGCTCATCCTGGAGACATGACTTTCTAAGGGATCACAGTTAGGGGAGAAGAGAAATGGAAGCATTAGGTCTTTTCCTATCTAGTCTGAGCTTAGGCGAATGTTCCCACCATAACAAAAACGGTATCTTGGTCACTTGGCCCATGCCATGGGGCTGCTCGGCAGAGTTACAAAATCTAAAAACACACAAGCTTTAGTTTTGTACAGATGAAACTACGGATGTAGTCTAAACTGGCTGCTTCCACACACATCCCTCCCCAGTGTTGCAATCTGCAAGCCGTGAACCTCCCTTCCCTAATGCGCCTTTTCAAAAAGATGGCAGACCCCATAGGAGGAGATGGGAAGACTCCCCTTGGCGTTGAGTGTTATGTCTGTCTGCAGTATACACCAGGCCGACCAGGAGTCCTGCTGCTGCTTGTGGGCAGCCGAGACGGCCAGTCGTGCGGAGGGAGAAGAGCCCTTCCCCTTCCTCTCGCGCCACGGGAACCTCCCTCTGCCTTTTCCAGCTACCTCTACCAGATAGCCCACCTGGGCGACGACGACGAGGAGCCCGAGTTCTCCTCGGCCATGCCCTTGGAGGAGGGGGACACCTTCTTTTTCCAGCCACGGCCCCTCAAGAACCTCGTGCTGGTGGACGAACTGGACAGCCTCTCCCCCATCTTGTGCTGCCAGGTACCGTAAGCGCTCAGCAGTCCATGTGCAGCTTCCCCCAAGCCCTTCTTGGCCTCGGATGCTAAGCCGAGTCGCCTGGGCCTGGGCAGGGCAGCACCGGTCCGATCCACCTGTTCTGTCGCTGCTGCTCAGGCCAGCTGGACCCCTTGGGGGCGGGAGCTGGAGCGAACCATGGCTGTACGAGCGCCAGCTCCCGTCGCCCCGCCTCGCCTCGGCCTCTGCTGCTGAGGTTGGATGAGCTGCGAAACCTGGGAGGGCCCCGCTGGGTGGCCTCTGACCTGGTTCTAAAGCTGGCCCTGGGGTGGTGACGGCAAGAGCTTCTCCTCTTTCTTCATCTCTCTGCTTTCTCCCCTTTGTGCAGATTGCCGATCTGGCCAACGAAGACACACCGCAGTTATACGTGGCCTGCGGGAGGGGCCCCCGGTCGTCTCTCAGGGTTCTCAGACACGGACTGGAGGTAAGACGGGCAGGAGCCCGAGGAGGGCCTAGATCCTTTTACCTGCAGGGCAGCTGCTTTGCAGAAGAGCTCCAGTGACTTGGTCATGTCAGGGCAGGCCCGCTGGGAGGCATCTCCGCTTGACGTTGAAAAGATGGCTGCAGGCAGAGAAGACGGGACAGTGCAAGGGCCAGGAGCGCTTGCTCCTGGCATTCCTCCTCCCCCTCCTGGCAGGGCTGGACCTGGGAGCCGCCTCGGCCTGATGGCTCTCCTGAGGTGGACTGGACTTGGTGGAGGAGGAATTGCCGCTCCTGCCATGAATTGCAAAGGGCATAAGTTCCTATAAGTGATCAAGGGACCTGTTTTTTAGCACAATATTGATCTTCACTTCATCTGCTCCATGGGGTTGTCTAACCATTAGTGATGGCGACCGCTGGAACAATCGGAATCTTCTTTTGAAAAGGGATCTTGGAGGTGGGGGAGGAGGAAGCCCCCCCCCCGGCTGGATGCACCAGTGGTTGGCCTGTCTGGGGTAGGTGGGAGCGGCGTCTGCAGCGTAGCTCAGAAGCAGGAGGTTCCCCCTACTTTCCCTTCTTCTCAGCTTTTGTCCTTGGGGGACTTCATCACAGCCTTGGGATGCAAATGGACCCTGGGTGTCGTCTTTCCCATAGGTGTCTGAAATGGCCGTCTCAGAGCTGCCCGGTAACCCCAACGCTGTGTGGACAGTGCGGAGGCACGTGGAAGGTGAGCAGGTTGTATCTGGGGCGTCTCTCTTAGTGGGGGAGGAGGCGACAAAGCTGGCTTGGGGTGGTCTCTCTCGATGCTGCAGGAGCGCCCAGAACATTCCTCTTCCCCTGTTAAAGCCATCCGGCGTGGTTCAGATTGTCTGGAACCAAACGTGGCTTGGTTCCTAGGCAGTTTCTGCCCCTCCCTTTTTTTTTTGGCTAATATGCGTTAGATTGTAAAAACACAGCTGCAGGAGATTTGTGGAACCAAGAGACCTTTCTGGTTTCAAAACAACCCTCTTCCAGCCTCCTGCAGGGGCCCAAGCTCCAACCCGCAAGGGCCAAGAGGCCAGGGAAGAAGAAGAAGATGAAGGGGATGTGGCTGCACACACCCCACCCACAGCCTCCCAGACTTCCTCACCCTTCCCATCCTGAGAGCCTTGCCCTCGTGGTGAAAGAGGCAGAATGGCATGCTCGCCGTGCATGTCCTTATCTTGGCATGAAAACCTGCAGCCTGGGGAAGTTCCTGGTGGGCCTACGGAAGCGGTGACGCTGCAGAGTTTGGTGTTCCTCTCCAGGCGTTTCTCAGCTGTGCCTGGCACTCCTGAGCTGGCTGCCCTGTTCCCTGAGGACAGTGCTGTGATCTGTGCTCTTGGCCTCTTCTTGAGGGACCTGCCAAGGACGTGGGGCATTTTAATCAGAAGAGCTGGTTCTTGGCCCTGTCGCTCACGGCCCGGCCCCCCCCCCCCGCCGGCTGGTGCTCCTTGCGCCACCACGAGGACTGGTGCCAAAAGAGAGTCCCAGATCCCAGTGTTTCCTCGCCCTCCTCCCAAGGAATCGCATCAGCCCCATCAGGAACACGTTGGTGGCCAAGGACGCCTGAGGAACCGAACCTCCCTCGGGCCTGCCTTTCCCTGGAAGGGCCGGGACGGCTGTCTGGGATTGCCTTTTTTTTTTCCTGGGAGGCCAGAGGACTAGCCGGGGGGGGGATGGCTTTGAGGGGGGGGGGAGCTTCCTTTGGCCAGGTCTCTCGTGGAGGGTTTCCCCTGGTCGTCTTGGGCAGGGAGAGAGGCTTTCGTTCACACAGACTCTGGTTGTTTGGAGAGGGTGGTGGCACTGCCAGCGTTGTTTACTTCCTCCCTCTGTTGCTTTGGTACAAGAGTTACAGTTCTGGGTTCTGTCATCGCCGCCTGGCTTGTGTGCTGTTTTTAGTGGACACATGTGGATGAAGGGGTAGGAGAAGAGCACCTTTGTGCAGGCATGAGGACAACCACACACCCCCGGTGCATTTTCAAGTTGCTGCCTGGTTGTGGCCTAAGAAGAAACGGGGCCCAGGCCCGAGGGAGGTTCTGTCTGATGGCAGGGTTGGGTACCAGCGCACTTGGAGGGTGGCAGCTGCACTTCTTTGCATGGCCTTGCTCCAAGAAGGTCGGGGGACCCCTGAGACTGGGGGGGGGGCTTTGCCCAGGGTGTGCTGGTGCTGCTGCTGGTGGTCCAGCGGTGGAGGAGGCCCTGGTGCTGCCTCTGGGACACTCCGTGCTGGGGCTGGCCCTAAAGAAGCGCTCGGGAACTGTGCCAAGGGCGGAAGGCAGCAAGCAGCCGCATGGGGTGCCGTCACGCCGGCCTTCCTCTGCCCACTGCAGCAGCTCAGGCTGGCTTTCTGGACCTCGTTTTGCAAAGGTGCCGATTCTTGCTTGCACGGGCGCCTGCCCTTTCTTCGCAGGAGGCTTCCTTTGTGCTTGCTTCCAGAGCCCGGCTTCTGCAGGTGCGCCCCCCCCATCCCCTCAGCCCAGCCCTCCCCACCCCCAGCTCCCTGCAGTTCCAGCAGAAGGGGCCTTGGTTTGGTTTGGTTCTTGGTAGGCCAGGGTTTCACTCTTGACTCTTGTTTCACTTTTGAAAGAGTTCAAACATAATCCAGTTTTTCTGTAACTGGAGCGCTTGGGTTAATTATCTGTTTATATGATAAATTTTGTAGGTTTTTTTTTCACTCTCAGGGCAAATTTTAGTGTAAAATGCAAGCCATAAATAAATCGTAAATAATGGGAAATGCTAAGAAATAAGCACTTTTGCCACTTTCTGTGTCTGCAAACCTCATGGCAGCTTCCAAGCGACGATGGCCTGGCCTGAAAAGGGTTGCGCTTTTCAGGGTTGCGAATCCAGTCCAGATCTTCACTCTTTGCAGTTGGTGATACCATTAAGGGGGAAAGCAAGTTTTCTCCCAGTCTGAGATTTCCACAGAGCAGAACCGGGTCCCCTGTGGACGCTTCCCTGGGGGAAGAACCTCCGGGGCGAGGGCCAGTTCTTCTCTGTCGCCTGTGATGACCCTTTCCGTCCCTTCTCCAGTGAACCCTCTCACCTCGGCTGGTAGGCGGCGAGCGGTCCGGCCGGTACCAAGCCTTCTTTTTCCTTCCACAGGTGGCTGGTGGTGGAGGTGCTGATTCCTCCCTCCCCCAGGTGTGTACCTCTGGCTGGGGGCTCTGCGGTCTGAGCCGGGGGGGGGAGGCAGGGGCGGGACGGCTCGGGAGCCTTTTCTGATGTCTCTGGCGAACGAATCCTTGGGAACCTTTGTGTGACAGAAGTTGCCGCTCACAGCTCGCTGGCCGGCCTTTGCAGCCCTCGCCCCCCCCTCCTCCCATGAGCTCAGGTCCGCTTTCACCTTTCCTATTCCAGAAGGGGAGCCATTCTTTTCTTCCCCGGGAACTCCTCAGGGCTCAGAGCAGGCCTGAGCAGGAGGGCTGCCAAGCGGCCTCCTGTCCATGGGAGGCCCTCCCACGTGCCGTGCTGAACCCGTGCGGGGAGTCCTGGGGGATTCCACAGCTCAGCTGGGTGCTTCACAAAAAAGCACTTCCTTTCCCCCCACTCCTAAATTTTTGGCTCTTTAGCTTCCGTGCATGACCTGCGTTCAGGCAGATTGTCTACCACGCAGCCGGTCATGTCATCTACTTAACGTTGTTCCTAAATGGAAGAGGCCCAGATGTTGTGTCTTTCCCTCGCAGGAGAGGCGCTCCAGCCACCTGAATGTTGGGGCCGCCCTCCTCTGCCTCTTTTTTGTCTGTAGGACCTCCCCCCCCCCCCGGTTAACTGTGACTAAGAACTGCGTTATGGCGTTCTAGGCCCGATCACACCTTGGATTTGTTTAACTTTGGACTGATAATGACCCTTTTTCTCCCCGAAATAGCCATGCCCCCTCCCAGGACTCTTTCCTTGGTGTTATGTTTTGTGCTGGGGCAGGGGTGGAGTAGACCGAGGGTCAGGTTCCAGGGGCCTTCCCCCTTATGGCTTCTAGTCTTAAGACCTTGGCCCGTGTGGGTCCATGGAGGTGTCTGTCGCTCTGCAACGGCGTGTTCTTTCCCAAGGGTCTGCCGGCAGACCTCTGCCTGCCTCAGAGCTCAGTGGCCTTCTCTTGTTACCATCCTCTTCCCGTTGGGAGGCAGCTGATGGTCTCCACCCTGTCTGGTTAAAGGAGCGAAAAGCTGCCTCTGTTGCCAGCCACTGGGTTTACATTCACCTCGTAGGTCCTGCCTGGCCGGTGTTGAAGTGGTTCCTCCTGGAGGGAAGGGGGAGGGAAGAAGGTGGTTTCCCTGAGCTGCGTGTGGCCCAGGGAGTGAAAACTCGGCCCAGGGTGTTGGGTTGCCCTGCTGGGCCTGCGGTGGTCCTTGTAGGTTTTTGAATTGAACGGGAGGACACTCGGAGCGTTTGAATGGTGAACCTGGAGGAGCGGCACTGGCTGTAGGGCAGCCCATCATCGCTCCTGTTGTTTGCTCCGCCACCTTCCTGCTGCTGAATGAGCTACAGGTTGTGTTCCCCTACTCCGTGTGACCTGTAGGAAGGACGTGGCTCCCTTTATAGGTGTGTCGCAGCCCCAAGTTCATGCTGAGTCCTTGCCATTCTTTTGGAGTGAGGAGCCGGCTTCCGGATGTTCTGATCCGTCAGATGCCACACGTGGGATTCCGTGCTGGGTGGGTTTGTGGGTGTCCATTGGCTCAGGATCAGCAATTGAAGGAGCCTAGCTTTCAGATTCCTATCCAGTTGTTTCCCACTCCTGGTGATTGCATGGTAAGGACTAGAGAGGGGGTTTCGTATACGAATGTCCCTGCATAGGTGGCGTTAACGAGGGTCCAGTCCCACGGGGCTGGACAGTCTACTCACCGATCTGACGTGGTTGGTGCGATTCTCCCAATGGCTCCTCAGTGCGGAATCTGCTCACCACTCCTGGCAGGAGGCGGGAGGACAAGCCTCGCTGCAAGGTCGAAGAGTGGTGAGCGGATCACGCGCTGCAGAGCCATTGATAGAATCGCGATGTCCGCGGAGGATCGGTGAGTGGACCCTCGTTGCCGCCTGTGTGGGGATATTTGTATACGAATACCTCCGTCTCTAGTAAGGACCTGATAATACACTTGTACAGTCGGAAGTGAGGTTCCGCTGTTGCCCTCAGCTTCTCTCTTGGTTATTGAACAACCTGATGTTGTCGCCTATTCCCAGCACCTGTAGAGTCTCCTTGTGTTAAGTAAATAAGGAGGCTGCGGCTTCAGGCCTGGCTGGTTGACTCCCCTGCACCTGGGTAAGAAGGCAGCCCACCTTTTAAAGGCTCAAAGGTAGCAGCTTGCTTCTCTTATGGCCTGGAGGCAGGCTACCTATCTAGCTATTTTTAAGAGCTTTTCTAACATACCTCTTGCTTAAACATCGCAGGTCTATTTACAAATAGGAAATGCATTAAAGCCAGTGCCCAAGAGGAAGAGAAGAGCAAAACAGTCAAAGCCATTTCAGTCCAGGCCAAGAGACCCTGAGCACAGTCGGGAGGAGGCTAGCCAGGGAGGCGCTTTGGGCAGACAGAGAGGGTGAGGGTTGAGGGTGACACTGAGACAGAGCTTGCCTGGAGGAGGTGGGGGGGTGTGAGCAAGAGCAGCTGAGCTGGTGGGCCTCCCTCTCCCCGCCTCGAGCCAAGAGCGCCACTTTGCCTGCCTCCCAGTTCCTGAGATGGACCGAAGGACCCGGAGGAGCCGCTCGCATCTCTTTTCTTTCCTTGGACTTGGATCTCGGTTCCTGCAACTTTCCTTGGTTTTCTGCCTGTCGACGGGTGTCGGGTCGGCTGACGGCGTTCCCTGTCATCCCAGCGATTGGAAGCCCCTCCCTGGGTACCTCGTAGGGCTCACGGAGCATGTGTCTCTTTCCCTTTTCTCCCCTGGTTAGATGAGTTTGATGCCTACATCATCGTCTCCTTCGTCAACGCTACCCTCGTCCTTTCGATTGGAGAAACGGTAGAGGAAGTGACGGACTCTGGGTTCCTTGGGACCACCCCGACCTTGTCCTGCTCACTGCTGGGGGACGATGCCTTGGTGCAGGTAAGAGCGGTGTTGGCAGGGGGGCGGCGCCCCGCTCTGGCTCCTTGGCAGACAGTTTGTCTTGCCCCTTGCGGAGCGGATGTGGGGCGTGTCACAGTTGTCAAAGAGCTGCTGTGCCACCGTTGACACGGCTGTGCTCTCTCCTCTGACGAGGAAGCGAAGCCGGGCTGGGTGGGTCTGGCTGAACACTTGGATGAAAGACTGACAGGGACTCCCAGTCCTGGAGAGCCTCGGCTGCTGCCCGTCACAGCTGACGCTATTGGGCTAAATGGAGTGGCCGCTGTGAGGCAGCTTTCTGCATACTTCCTAAAAACATAACGCGGGGCGTTCTTTGGAGTGGTGGAGGTCACCTCGGGAGTCTCACCAGCTGCTGCTTCCTCTCTGCCCTTCAGGTTTATCCTGATAAAACATAACGCGGGGCGTTCTTTGGAGTGTTGGAGGTCACCTCGGGAGCCTCACCAGCTGCTGCTTCCTTCTCTCTGCTCTTCAGGTTTATCCTGACGGCATCCGGCACATCAGAGCGGACAAACGCGTGAACGAGTGGAAGACGCCCGGGAAGAAGACCATTGTCAAGTGTGCGGTGAATCAGAGGCAGGTGGTGATCGCGCTGACCGGAGGGGAGCTGGTCTACTTCGAGATGGACCCGGTACGTGAGCAGCCCGGCCCCGGTCGGAGTCAGGAGCCAGGATCAGGGGGTGACGGGGGTGGCCCGAGGCAAAGCTGTGCTTGTGGTGTGAGGCTGTGGAGGAGTGAGGGAGGGCCTGGAGTGCTGCAGAGGCCAGCGGTGGCCCCTTGGAGGACCCTGGGACTGCCCAGGCCTCCTTGTCCATGGCTCCCTGAGCGGCACCTGCTGGTCCCCCTGGCCTTGGCCGGAGCGTCCGCTCTGGTCGCCACCCTTGGGTGAGACTGGCTTTTGCTTCCAGGGATCGGGGCGGGCCGTGGCAGAGATCCGTGGGAAGGGGGTGTGCTTTCTGGAACTTGGAACTTGCCTGCCAAAGGGGGCGGTCGGTCCACGTGGGCTGTGCCCTTTGGTGCTGTGGAGTAACTCGTCTCCTGCTCCCCTTTGCCATCGTGGCTCTCCCGTGGCTCACCTCGCCGTGCCTCCCCCTCCCCCTCCCTCTTTCCACCAGTCGGGGCAGCTGAACGAATATACGGAGAGGAAGGAGATGTCGGCAGACGTGGTGTGCATGAGCTTGGCCAACGTCCCTCCGGGAGAGCAGCGTTCCCGCTTCCTGGCGGTCGGCCTGGTGGACAACACCGTTCGCATCATTTCGCTCGACCCCTCGGTGAGTGCCTGCGCTGAGCGGCCTCAGCCACGGCAGGCCCGAGCGGAAGCCTTGCTCTTCGGAGGAGGCTTTCTAGCTGTTTCCCTGCGTGGTCGGAAATCCCAGGAATGGATGGCCGGGGGGGAGGGGCCCCCAGCTGTGACTTTTAGGCCAGTTGGCTCTGCCAGCCTTTCCGCGTTGGGCTTGCCAAGGCCCCGCTCCAAAGTCCCTGTCTCCCAGGGAAGGCCGCCTGCCTCCTCACTGCGCGCCGGGCTTGCCAAGGCCCCGCTCCAAAGTCCCAGGGAAGGCCGCCTGCCTCCTCACCGCGCGCACCTGGAGTCCGCTGTCCGTGAGCTCTTCGCCCCCTTTTTCTTTCCTGAGGGGGGTGGAGTGAAGAGACAGTCGCCAAGGGATCCTCCGTTCTGAGGCAGCAGTTCTTTTGACCTCCATCGACCCTCTCTGTTCCCTTTGGGGAGGGCTGAGGGGGGGCAGAGCTGGATGCCCGCTGAGGGGCTGCCTGCAGGAGCCCTCCCTCCGTGGGGCTGCAGGTTGGGTGGCTTTGTGCTGCTCCTCTGCCAACGTCTAAGAAGCCCCTTGGAGGTTTCTCTTTCCATCATGGATACCTTCCTCCAAAGGCCTCCCACGGCCACCCCTCACATTCGCTCGGGGACTGTGCCTTCTCTGTCCCGGTCACTATCAGGACGGCGAGCAGAAAGGATGGGCTGTGTGCCCAACGGCAGGCTTGTTGGTGTGCTGGGGATGATGGTGTGCCCTTTCTGGCCGGAAAAGGGCCGTGGCTCCGTTGTACAAATCCATTCAGGGAAGCCTCCCTCCTCCTGGGAGGGGCAGGTCCCTTCCCTCCAGCTGCTGTCCATGGCCAGCCTGTAGCTGCTGAGGCCTCAGAGCCCCTGCCTCCCATGTAAGGAGCTGCCCCTTTCTCTCTCTCTCTGTTTTACGAATGACCTGTGGCTCTCTCTTCCTCTTCCCCAGGACTGTCTCCAGCCTCTGAGCATGCAGGCCCTCCCAGCCCAGCCCGAATCCTTGTGCATTGTGGAAATGGGAGGTGCCGAGAAGCAGGATGAGCTGGGGGAGCGAGGATCCATTGGGTTCCTCTACCTGAACATCGGCTTGCAGGTGAGCGGGGGGGGGGGATGTTCTGCCCCGTGTGTCTCTGGAGAGCCTCGCAGCCCGAAAAGACATTGTCTGTGCCATGCGGGAGCAGTTCCAGAAGCTGTTCCAAGTCCAGATGTACAGGAGAGGGCTGTAGTTGGGGCTTCCAGAGCCAGCCCTTTGGAGTCTGCCCCCCCTTGACAAAGAAGCATCAACTTAGGAGGGTGAACTTAGTTCTCCCCTCCCCTCCCCTTCTTGTACCTTCCCCCTCCTCTGTGTTTGCTGCCCTGCTCCGTTGCTGCCAGGGAACCAGAGGTGATGGGAGAGCAAGCTGCTTGGCTTCACAGCAGTAACCCAGTCCCCCTTGCCCTCCCTTGTTCTCTTGCTCTTGCGATCCAGAACGGTGTGTTGCTCCGGACAGTGCTTGATCCAGTCACTGGAGACCTTTCGGACACACGGACCAGATACCTCGGGTCGCGGCCTGTGAAGCTTTTCCGAGTCCGGATGCAAGGCCAGGAAGCGGTGAGCGGGCAGGGAGCGGGTGGCGTGTTGGGTGACTGTGAACAGCTTGGGGTCGTGGGCATTGGTAGTGGGCAAAAGGGGAGGAACAAAGGCCTCGTGGGCTCTGGCCCTCCGGCCACCCCCAACGGTTAAAGAGGGTTTCCTCTGGAGCCCCCACAGAGCGTGTGCTTGCCTGCACTGGGATGCCCTCAAGGTGTGGCCATTGGAAGGTGCTGTCGGGAGGAATCCTGCCGGCTGGGGTGTGGGCGTGGAAGGGAGCGGGGGGGATCACGTGGCTTGCCTCTGTCAGTTGGAAGAGGGTCCTCCTGTTGGAAGGCAGGGAGGGAGCGCCGAGTCCAGTGGCTCGCGTGGCTCTGTTCTGCTGTCAAGTTGTCTCCAATACCAATGGAGTGTTTTTTGCAGTCCTCCTGTTGGAAGGCAGGGAGGGAGCGCATGGCTCTGTTCTGCTGTCAAGGTGTCTCCGATACCAATGGAGTGGTTTTTGCAAAGTGCAAGGTTGGTGGAAGCCTTGTGGGCACCTCAGGCAGGGTTTTGTAGCAGATGATGGAGGAGGAAGTGGGCTGGCGGGACCTGTCCCATCCTTAAGCCAGCGGTGTGCCAGGGCCGCGCTGCTGGCAGGAGCTCATCCGTTGTTGTGGGAGCTTCCCTTTGCTGTTGGCTGACTGGGCGCCCTTCTCTCCGGCTGCAGGTGCTGGCCATGTCGAGCCGTTCGTGGCTGAGTTATTCCTACCAGTCCCGCTTCCACTTGACCCCGCTCTCCTACGAGACGCTGGAGTTCGCTTCCGGCTTTGCCTCAGAGCAATGCCCAGAGGGCATTGTTGCCATCTCGACCAACACGCTGAGGTTTGTCTTGGCGGGCAAGGTCTGAGCGGCGAGTGGGTCTCTGGGGGTTCCCGGGAGCGAGCTGCTCAGAGGATCGGACATCCTTTCAGTGTGACCACGGCCCTCCTCCCTGCATGGAGTGGCTCAGTCTGCCTCCCTTCTGGGATCTCTAAATCTCTGCTGAAGCCAGAGCTACTTCTGTGGATTAAGCAGAGAACAGCCCATGGCACACCCCCACTGCCGCCCCCCCCCAGCATCCCTTGGAGAGGACTGTTCCCTCCTCACCCCACGGGCCCAAGTGCAAGGCCAGTGGAGATGCGGGCGCCTTGTCTGCTCGAAAGGCAGCCTCCCGGATCGTCCTGGACGGACAGCCGTTGTCTTGCTTTTCTCTCCTGACCTCAGATACCAGGGCAGGGTGTTGCACGCTGTGGCAGAGTCATCCGCCTCACTCATGCAGACTTTCTTGCTTTGAGAGGAGCGCTAGAGAACACAGGCTCCTTTCCTCCTGTACGGCTTGAAGCCCTTTTCCAGCCGGCTCCCCGAGGACGCCTGTGGCCCTCTGTGCCGGCCCTCACATATATGTCTCTTTGGCCTCTGCAGGATTCTGGCGCTGGAGAAGCTTGGGGCCGTCTTCAACCAGGTTGCCTTTCCTCTACAGTACACGCCTCGGAAGTTTGTGATTCACCCTGAGAGCAACAACCTGATCATCATAGAAACTGACCACAACGCCTACACGGAGGCCACGAAAGCCCAGCGGAAGCAGCAGATGGCCGAGGTGGGCAGAAGGGAGGCGCCCCCCCGGGGGGGGGCTTCGTCTTGGGTCCTGCTCCCGGCAGAGAGAACGGGGGCTCTGCTCTGGGCTCGGGGTGCCGTTCCTGCCTCAGCATCCGAGGAGCAGGAGCCCCTCCCTCCCAGGCCCCTTTCCGGTTCTTCCTGTCATGGGGGAGGCAGGCGCGGAACCATCACTGGCTTTGGGACAAGGGCCAGAATCCCCCCCCACACACACACAAAAGGTCTTTGAGGGCCGGGCTCTCCAGAGGCATGGAGCTTGGGGGTGCGCAATGGAGCAGGCGGGGGCCTCCCTTCATGCAGCCGCTTGTCAGGAGGTGAGAGGCACTGACTTCCTGAGCAGGAAAGGTCTCCATGGCCTGCCTTCCAGGCTCGGCCCAGCCCAGCCCAGCCCAGCCTGGCAGGCTGTCCCCGCGGGGGTTCTCGTCTTCCTGATGAGGCCCAGAGCGAAATGCTGGGCCTCTTCCTGTGGGTGACTCGGCCTCAGCCTCTTGCTTGCTGCTGCAGTGGGAGGGACTCAGACGCAGGAAGGGGCTTCTTCAGCCCCCTCTGGCTACGTCCCTGCCCAGGATGGCAGAAAAAGGCGAGGCTGGTCCTGTAAGAAGCAGGGGCTCCCTCTTTCCGCTTGGGAGATTGACCGGAGAGGCGGCTCTTGCTTTCGAGCTGCCAGAGGCAACTTGACCGGTGCAGTTCTGGGAAGGAGCCAGAGCACACCTTCCAGTCAGGCATTGCGCACCCCCCCCAAGGGAAACTAGTTTCTTTCAGCGCCCAACGGTTGAGACTCCTCAGAGAGCCCCTGGCTGCTGGGCACTCGGGGACTGAGGCTGCGGGAGGTTCCCCAGAGCCAGGTCTGCCAAGCAAGCGGGTGCTGCTCCAGGAGACGTTAGGTGGCAGGAGTCCCTGGGGCTCAAGGGCCATCTCTCGCCTCGCCTCCTCTTTTTTTGACTGCCTCTCAAAGGATGGAGGGGGAGGCAGCCGCTGGGCTGGCGTGGTGCCCCCTGATGCGTGTGGCGCCTTTCTACTCTGCCCTCTCTTGCGTTACAGGAAATGGTGGAGGCTGCTGGGGAAGATGAGAGGGAGCTGGCTGCCGAGATGGCTGCGGCATTTCTGAACGAGAACCTTCCCGAATCCATCTTTGGGGCCCCAAAGGCAGGGAACGGGCAGTGGGCCTCTGTCGTCCGAGTGATGAACCCCATCCAGGGAAACACATTGGATCTGGTCCAGCTGGAGCAGAACGAAGCTGCCTTCAGGTAAGCACCAACCCTCCTTTGCTTAGCCATGGAGGCTTCCTTTGCTGGATCGGGCGCTGGACGGTCCTGGCAAGGGTCACGAAGGCACATCTTAACCAAGCGGTTCCTTCTGCTGCTGTTGGCAGACTTGACTCCGGGCTGTATTGAAAATTCAGGAAAGCTGAAGGATGGTGAGGGTTTGGGCCTCGGGGGAAGGGGGTCGGTCAGTTCGAGCAGCTCATCCGTGCGTCTCCACCCCCCCTCCCACACACACTCAAGGCAGAGGCTCCTGGTCCCCCCCGTCCTCCCAAAGACCAGTCTGACCCTCCTGCTCTGGTTGTCTCCAGTGTAGCCGTGTGCCGCTTTGCCAACACCGGGGACGACTGGCACGTCCTGGTGGGGGTGGCCAAGGACCTGATCCTGAATCCCCGCTCTGTTGCCGGAGGCTTCGTCTACACCTACAAGCTGGTGAACAGTGGCGAGAAACTGGAGTTTCTGCACAAGGTGAGTTCCCTGAAGCGGCTGCGTGAGGCGGACCAACTGGGGTTGGGGTTTCTTGGAAGGAGGCCGGGCAGAAGTGCCAGCGAGGACCCTCGGCAGCAGCAGGAGTGGGGAAGCGCCAGCTTAGCCTCTCCCGGGTTGCTTCGCCTCCTGCTGGGCTGTCGGGCAGCCTTGCAGCAGCCAGCGAGGTTCGTGAGAGTCGGGAATCTGATTTGCCCGTCGGGGCTGCTTTGCAAGTGGCCCTTTCCAAGCCCTTCGGCTCATGGTTCTTGGGTGCTGGTCTTATCCCAGGTGTCTGAGGGTGCTGTTTTCAGGCCCCCGCCTGTTCTTGTGGGGTTTCCTGCTTGCTCGAGACGCTGCCAGGAAAGCTTTGATTAGCAAGGAGGTCTGGGTCGTGGGCCCTCCCGAGGCCCACTCAGTCAGACTGGCCAACCAGCGGGTCCCTTTCTCTCTTGCTCCTTTGCGGTTTCTGCTGCTCAGACCCCTGTGGAGGAGGTGCCGGCCGCCATCGCGCCCTTCCAAGGCCGTGTGCTCATCGGCGTGGGGAAGCTGCTGCGCGTCTATGACTTGGGCAAGAAGAAGCTGCTCCGGAAGTGTGAGAACAAGGTATTGTGGGGGGCTGCGCCGGGGGAGACATTTTCTCCAAGGCAGGCTGCCCTCGGGGGCCGGGGGCCCAATCAGGACCACTTCCTAAGAGCCCCGTAGGCCTTCCTAGGAAGACCCCTCGCCTTCAAGCAGATTATAAGGACACCAAGAAGAACGTCTTAAGCAAGGCTCTCACCCAACCGAGCCAGCCGTGGGCCAGTCTGCCTCTGGGGAGGAACCTTCGGAATGGCTCTGGCTCCTTGCCATGTTGTGCCAGTGACACATTGTGCCCGCGACACACAGCCTCCCAGGTGGGGGTGGAGAGAGAGAGAGAGAGTGTGAATGAAACAACGCCTGTTTCTGAAACCATGTTGCTGACTCTTAGATGCAAAATGTTTGGTATGGTGGTGGCCAGAGGGTTGTTGAAATAGAGGGTTTATTTCCCTTCCATTTTTTGACTGTCTGGGGAAGGTTCCTCTTTCCCTTTTGCCTCTTTCCAAATGGCCTGCTTTGTCTGCCCCCTCTCAGAGGGCTGGGCAGGACAGAAAGACAGAGCAGGACTGCTGGTTGGGGATCTTCACTGGTGTGGTGCTTGGGTGGTGGCACAGGGGCAGGCGGGAGGGGGGTGGGTGGGACCCTTTTAAAGCAAGGCGCGGCCCTCTTTCACTCCTCATGCATGCCCGTTTCCCCAACAGCACATTGCCAACTACATCTGCGGCATCCAGACCATTGGGCACCGCGTGATCGTGTCGGACGTGCAGGAGAGCTTCATCTGGGTGCGCTACAAGAGGAACGAGAACCAGCTCATCATCTTTGCGGACGACACCCACCCCCGCTGGGTCACCACTGCCTGCCTCCTGGACTACGACACCGTGGCCGGAGCGGACAAGTTTGGCAACATTTGCGTGGTGAGTCCTTTCGGATGCTGCCGCTGGAAAGTCCCCTGGCCTCCTGCCTTGTCCCCGGGCAAAGGGTACTCCCTGCCCCAGGACTGGGGGAATCTTGACCTTTGGTCAGGCCCTGGTTTTAGGTGCATGGCTGGCGGGGGTCGGGGCAGCCACTCCTGTGGCCCAAATCCGTGGTGGGGCTGTTGAGTCACGTGGGCCACGCAGGTGGGTTTGATCCCCTTTCCCGTCTCCACAGGTGAGGCTGCCGCCAAACACAAATGACGAGGTGGACGAGGATCCAACCGGCAACAAGGCTTTGTGGGATCGTGGCCTCCTCAATGGGGCTTCTCAGAAGGTGTGAGCAAGTCCCTCCCTCCCTCTCTCCCTCCAGGGCTCTTGTGTGGCCTCACCAATGCCCGCGCTGAAAGCAGCTTGTAGTTTTTGGTTTGGATTTCAAGTAAATAGCTACATACCCTGTTTTCCCCCAAAATAAGACAGGGTATTTATTTTTGCTTCAAAAACGCATTAGGGCTTATTTTCAGGGGATGCTTTATTTTTTTCATGTACAATCTACGTTTATTCAAAGACGGTCATATCATCCTCTTCTGGTTGCTGCAGAAGGATGGAGGGCGGGTTTTCACTTAACTGGGGCTTATTTTTGGGGGTAGGGCTTATATTACAAGCATCCTGAAAAATCCTACCAGGGTTTATTTTCAGATTAGGTCTTACTTTCAGGGAAACAGGGTATATCCAGATACTGGAAAACGGGAGCAGCAGCTGCCCTGGCGAGTGCAAAAAAGAAAAGCCATGAAAGGCATTTTGGCAGGACAAAAGCTGCCACCTGCCAGGAGGAGCCCTCCTGCCCTGCTTTCCTTAAGACAAAAAGTAGCCTGCTGGGGCTGCTCGTGGGCAAGGCCGGTGTGTGTGTGTGTGTGTGTGTGTGTGAGAGAGAGAGAGAGTCGGGGAGAGACGTGCCTTGGTGGGACTATACTGCAGGGGGCCTTGGCTGTTGACAGAGAGAGAGAGAGAGAGAGAGAGTTGGGCAGAGACGGGCCTTGACGGAAGCCTCCCTTCTCTCGCTTCCAGGCAGAGGTGATCATGAACTACCACGTCGGAGAGACGGTGCTTTCTCTGCAGAAGACCACCCTGATTCCTGGGGGGTCGGAGTCCCTGGTCTACACCACCTTGTCTGGAGGCATTGGCATCCTGGTGCCCTTCACCTCGCACGAGGTAAGGGGGACCTCTTTGGCCTGTTGAAGAGAGCGGTGGCTCCTTTCTCCTGCCGGAGCCAAGAAGCCACCGCTGGCCAACCGAGGGACAGCCTTGGGTGGGCTTGGTTAGTTGGTTGGTGGGTTGGGGCTGCCGCTCGCCAGGCCATGCTTTTCGGAAGAGAGCAGCCTGTGAACGGGCCGGCCGGGGCCTGCCTTGTTTCTTTCAGGACCATGACTTCTTTCAGCACGTGGAGATGCACCTGAGGTCTGAGCATCCTCCCCTCTGTGGGCGAGATCATCTCAGCTTCCGCTCCTATTACTTCCCTGTCAAGGTAGGATGGTTTCCCTCCTCTGGGTGCGTGCGTGCTTGGGGAGGTGGCACAGTTCCTCTCCTTTCTGGCCACTTCCTGGGGGTGGAGGCAGGGGGAGAAGAGCAGCTGCCCCAAGGGTGCTGGAAGGGTGGGATCCTCTTGTGCCACCAGGAAGGAACAGAGGCGTCTCTGCTCCCCACCCTGCCTCCTGGCCTGTGGCCTCTCCTCCAGACAGAGTGCGTGGACGTCCCCTCATAAGAATGCCCCTCTGCGCTCCCTAAAATTGCATGGGTGGGGATGTGGTGGTGGTGGTGGGGCTGACTTGGTTAGCCCCAGAGCACCCTTCCTCTGGCTTCTTTTGCTGGTCTTGGCAGCCCCCAGAAACACTGTTTCTTCTTTTAAAACAGGGAATGCTCCCCCATACCTTGAAAACAAGCATTTTTGAAAACCGGAGGTGGCCTTTCCCCTCCTCCACCCGTCCCACGGCCCAAGGGTTGGTTCCCACTCCAGTGGCGGGCATGGGTTGCAGAGAGTGCTTCTGTTGCAGCCAGGGGCTCAAGAAAGCCCGCCAGGGGTGGAAGAGTCTTCTTTTTCCAAGGAGCTGAGTTCACTAAGAGTTCTCGGAGGGTCCTGGAAATCCCCAGAATTGCTCTTTGGGGAACTGGTTGATTAAAGAGTTGATGGGCTCTGGAAGCAGCCGGGGAACTTGGGCGTCGCTCTCATTTGCTCTCCTGGCTCTTTCTGTTTGTTCCCCGTGTTTCAGTCCTGCCCCAGCCTGGTTTTTTCCTCCAGCCAATAACTGGGTCTCAAACATTCCTGTGCTCAACGCTTGCGGTGCAGCTCTTAAGCCTGGAAGTTCACAGCACGCTTCCTGAGTAAACGGCACACCCACTATTGGGATATGGGGGGGGGGAAGCCCTTTCAGTTTTGGTGCAGACACAGATTGCGGAAGGCTCAACCCTTGCGGCAAGACGTCTGGTTCACAGGGAGCTGTGCCCTCGTCTCTTTCCTGCCTCTCTGAATTGGGCTGCCCACCTCCCTCCTGAAGGCCCTTTGTGCTTTTCTGCTCTCTGGTGAAAGTGGCCCAACCCTGCCTTTCTGTCTGTCTCTCTCTTTCTTAATAGTGGTCTTGGCAGCCCCCAGAAACACTGTTTTGACAGGGGATGGCTGTCTTGGTTCTTGGCAAAGCCCTCTCCCCCCCCACCCCCCGTGTAGCACGTGGGACCCTCAGTTCTTCCGTCTCTTCTGTCCCGCCAGAATGTCATTGATGGCGATCTGTGCGAGCAGTTCAATTCCATGGAACCCAACAAACAGAAGAATGTGGCCGAGGAGCTGGACAGGACCCCGCCGGAAGTCTCCAAGAAGCTGGAGGACATTCGCACCCGCTACGCCTTCTGAGCTGGGCCTCGGGCTCCAAAGAAATTTAGGCAAGAACCTGCTTCCCTCCCGCCCCCTGCCCCGTGCCTTTTCCTGGGGCAGATGGGAAGGAGGCCAGCCTGTAAATGGCACATTCCCTTTGGGGAGCCTTTGTGTCTCTGGGGGACACCGCCAGCCTTCCTCTTTGCCCCCCCCGGCTGCTTTTGGACAGCACCCCCCCCTGCACCCTCCTCCTGAGGTCCCACCAAGCTGGCAGGAGGGGAGGGCTTCCCTCGCTCCAGGGCCAGGATTCGAGAGGCCACTCTGGTTTGGATGTTGTTCTAGTTTCCATCATCCTGTTTTTAATCTCTTGTGTTGTAAATATAGTCTTGCACCAAGCTAGCCATTGTTGATTAAAAAAGGACCCTCACCCTCACCTGCCCTCAGCAGTGTTTTCATTAAAAGGACGAGGGCACCTGCATGGCTGATGAGCTGGTCAGATTAGGGCTCCCCCCTTCAAGAGCTGTACCCAAAACAGGGAACAATCCCTATGTGCGTGAAGGGTGTGTGTGTGTGTATTGGAAGCTGGCCACCCCCGGACTAGGAGACCCGAGGTGTGCTTGGTACGCTCAGGTTGTCGCCAGAGACAGAAGCAGGGGCCAGGTGGTACCCAGGGTGGAGGAGCATCAGGGCAGGGCAGGGAGCCGTCGGGAAGGAAGGCTCAGAACGTCACCGCACACGGCACCTCCCCCCCCGGGGGGGGCTGTCCTGGCAGGAGGAGACTTCTCTCTCGCACACAAGCCCCACACCGGGCAGAGCCCTGATGCAGGATGCCACCAGGGAGTGAGCGACCTTGCCCAGATTAGCTCCCTTCAAGGCACCACACTCCATCTGGAATTCATGAACGGTAATGTACTTTTATAGAGAAATGGTAAATAAACAGACCTGGTTAGGTTTTAAAAACAAAGAAAAAACACACCCTCTGTGTTTGATCTTTCCTTCTTTTTGAGGGTTTTGTAGGGTATAGGAGGCAGATTTCTGTAAGGGCCCCTCCCTCCCTTTCCCATCCTCTCAGGGCTGAAATGCCATTGACACCAGCCCAGGGAGAGATGAGCCCTCTCCCCCCCCGGGGGGGTTGCAAGGAGGGAAAGGATGCCAAGGATGAGCTTGGCAGCTGCCAGCCTGGCTCCTTGTGGGCCCCTCCATTGCTGCCCAACCACTTCCTCATCCGGTTGGGGTACGGAAAAAATGATGTTAAGGGAGCCGATGGTGCTGCCCGCCCCCCCCCCCACCCCATCCAAGCCCGCAGGCTTGAGCAGCTGCTGAGCCAGGAGAGGAGGGAAGGGCCGCGCAGTCCCACTCGCCCGAAAGAAGAGGCAGGGTTGGGAGAAGGAAGGCTTTGTATTAATTACAGTACAACTTCTTTTATTAATACTGGAATCTTCACAGTGCATTTGTTACTTGTAGCAGTGACTATTTTTAAAATGAAGAAAGGAGGGCAAGGGGCAATTATTTTTATGAGAGACATGGTGGGAGAGGCCGGGACAGATGGAACTGCTAGAAACAGTAAGAGAAAATAAATTAGGGGGTGGGAGGAACAAATTAACAGCACCAGAATAGTTAAGTCAGTTGACAGACATTGCAAAGGGTTTTTTTTTCCTCTTTCCTCTGTACAAAAAATGAAATAGAAGAAGCAGAACGCAACCATTTGCCACACCTGGTCGCTGCTGCTCTGGCTACAGCGGGGAGACCCAGAATGCGCAGGCAGGGACGTTAGAACTAAATTGTTATTACGACGCAATAAGAGTTACACCTGGCACGCGCGCGCGCACACACACAGACACACGTACACACATATATGTGACTGGGTTTGGTGGGGACTCCGCTGTGGTGCTGCTATGTACATCAGGCCCTGCTGTGCCTGGCAGGTGGCCAGGAAGGACTCTGGCGCAAGATCCGGGTGGTGGTGGTGATGGTGGTGGCGTTGGCGAGGGTTGTGCTTTGGCAAAGGCCGGTGGGGAAGGAGCGCTCCCAGGCTTTGGCCCTCCCTCCCTCCTCTCCTGCAGGCCTCTTGTGTGATTTGGGGGAGGGGGCGGTGGGGAAGGAGCGCTCCCAGGCTTTGACCCTCCCTCCCTCCTCTCCTGCAGGCTTCTTGTGTGATTTGGGGGAGGGGGGTTAGTGGTGGCCTCTCCACCAGTGTCACTTCCATCTGTAGAAGTCCCCCCCCCCGGGCTTTGCAGGCTCCCTGTACAGGCCTCCCATCTCTGAGCACAAGGAGTTTTCTGAGAAGAGAGCCATTTCCTCCATGGCTCTTCTGAGACCTTCCAATTATGGAAAACTCAGTGGGTGGGTGAAGTCAGCCCTTCGAGGCCATCATCCCAAGCAATAACTATCCCCACGCTCTTTCTTTGCCCTCAAGGAAGTCTTTGCACTCTGAAATTTCAGGCCATCTAAAAAGGGCCCAAGGCTGCCAAAATCTAGCCTGATCTCTGTTTGCTTTGCTTTAGCTACACGTGCTTTTCTCCAAAATGCATGGATACCACTGCCGTCGAGGAGCAAAGCCTGGCGGCCGACGCAGAAACGCACGGCAACACCTGCAGGCGGAGGGCAGGGGCACCTCGCCCTTGGCCCGCCCGCCCAGGGAAAGGCCTGCTCTCTCCCACTCGCCCCCTCACTGGAACCATCGCGTCTCTTCTCCCCTGTGGACCTTCTCCCGACCTCCTCTGACTCCTCTTCCTGCCTTTTCGCAGGTCAGCCTCTTCTCTTTCCCATCAACACTTTCCGTCTGACAATGCTTGCCTCGGCCTTGTTTACTTCCCTCCACTTCCCCTGCCCCCTCCCCAAGAGGTGATGATGCTGCAGGTAAGCACCCGGAAGGCATGAATCCTGCAAGTGTCCCTTTTAAGGTCTCTGCCAAGCAGCAACATTGGCAGGCTCCAGACTGCAAAACAGAGCCTGCGGTCAGCCACGTCACACAGTTTGGACCAATCGCTGTGCTCAGCTTTGGCCAGAAGACTGTGAGCTGCCTCTGAATGGGTTCTCACCGTGGGTGAGCAACGTGGCTGGGCAGGGCCTCTGCCAGCCCTAGCAGCCACTGTTTCGCAAGGCACCGCAAACCCAAAGACGGCACGGCCACCCAGAGAGCACGGGATGGGTGGTTAGCGTGGTTCAGCCCAGCCTGACGGTGACTCTGCGAGGGGTGGCCCTCGCCCTCCCCCCTTCGCTCTCTGTGGTCCATCCCCTGCCACAGAAGGCCCTGGACGCCCCTCACCCAGCTGTTGCCCTGGCCTCCAGGACACGCTCCTTCCCGTCGCTGCCAAGTCCTTCCCCCAAGTGAGCCAGGGTGCCCCAGCCCCCCGGGTGCCGTCAGGGAGGCCCCCCCGACCACTCCTGGAACCGGCCACCCTTTCACCCTGTTTTCCAATCCCACTAGGCAAGGACGCCACCTCTCTCCTCCTCCCCCAGGCCTCTCTGCGCATCTCAAGGGTACAGGCAGGGCCCCCCTCCGTCCCCTTCCCACCAGCCAGCCTGACCCACCAAGCCCACCATGGAAGCAGCCGGGGCGGCCAAGAGACGCGGCAGCAGCAGTGGCAGCTCCGTCTCGGCCCCCAGCAGATTTGGGGCCAGCGAGTATCCTTGTTTCAAACACAATTTTCTCCCCACCTCACCTTTTGCCACAGAGCCCTCAGCACACAGCAGGTCCCCCGCTCAGCCAGAAGGGAGAAGCCCCTTTTCCTCCTTTCAAGAGCCCCATTCCTGGGGGGGGGGTGTCACCCCTTGTGCAACTTATGGTCCTTGCTGTGCCACAATGATCCTCGCGTGGCAAGGGAGCTTTCAGATTTTTCGCCTCCCATGTGCTTTGCTGGGGTGAGCAACGGCTTGCCCAGTTAAGCCTCTGGAGCGGGGCTCAGACGAACAAGTGACAGAAAGACAAAGAACAACCAGAGAGAAAAAGACGGCAGGGACACCGGACACAACAGGGCGGGGGAAGCCGTCCGGAGGAGAAGCGAGACGTCTGGGCGGAGGAGCAGCAGCAGCTTGGATTCCTCTTGGAGTTGTTGTGGCTTTGCTCTTGTAGCCGTCGATTCCACGAAGGGAGCTGCTAAATCCTGCCCAGGTTTCCACCCCTGCCAGGTAAGCGCACGGCCAAGATGGCCTCCCTCCCGCCCACCCTCTGCAGGTCAAGGAGGAGGCGGTGCAGACAAGAAAGGACGCCCGGGAGGGTGGCGGGTGGAAACCAGGCCTCCGAGAGGCTCCAAAACCAGTTCCGTGCCAAGGGGCGAGTGGGTTAGCAAAGGCATTTAGTTCAGTCTCTTCTCAAATCTACACTCAAAAGCTACCCCAGTGAGTGTCCTGGCCTTTTGCGGGCCGTTCATCCTCGTCTACGGTGGTGCCTCCTCCTGTCCCGGCTGCCTGGCGCTTGCAGAGGGCCGCCCGGGCATGGGGCAGGCGGCTGGCTGGGCAACAGCGGTCATCACAAGAACCGTGGGGCCGACCTGTCGTTGGTGATGGTCTTGCGAAGGCGCACCCCACGCCGGATGGCGACCAACATGTCTTCAGCGGGAGGGTCGCTGGAGGCTGCTGGGGGAGGCGTGGGCGTCTCTTCCCCGGGGGGGTCCAGGGTAGACAGGACGGTGGGGAAGGGGAACTGGCCCTCCCCCAGGGCGTGGGCGCTGGCCACCAGCTCGCCGATCTTCTCCACCAGGCTGTGCCGGTTGGCGGCCAGCTGCTGCTCTTCCTCTTCGCTGGGGAGGGGCCTCCCAGCTCCGGCATAGACCGAGATCTCGGCCACGTGGCTGCCCCAGCTGGTGTTGGGCAGGCTTAGCCTCTTGGGCGAGGCCTTGGCAAAGTCCAGGGCCCCGGGCGAGGCGTCGTCGGTATAGAACACACACTCCTCGCTGCCCGCCCGCGTGGGGCCCGCATAGCCAGGCGAGTCGGGCACTGTGGGGGTCTTGACCGGGACGATGGGAGGCCTGATGGGAATAGGGCCGGCGTTGGAAAGGGTCCGGCGGACCGTGGGCTTGGTGGAGGGGGTGCGGCGGATGGTGGCCACCCCTGGCGTGGTGCTGGCTGGCGTGGCGGCACCGGTGGGCAGGCCGGCCGTGGAGGCGGGCCGCTTCGTCTGGATCATGCGGCGGTAATTCTGGGCGATGTTGCTGTTGCGGGGGATGGTGGAGGACTTGTCGAATTCGCTCTGGCTCTCCCCTTCCATGTCGCCGTTCACGGAATAGCAGTCGTAGTCGGAGCCTGGGAGAAGGACAGCAGGGACCCCAGTCAGCCACCCCTGGGAGCCACCCCGAGGGCCCCATGAACAGTCCTGCCGGGCGATCGCCCCTGCAGGCTCCCCAGCACGCCAGGTGCGTCCGTGGCACCTCTTTGTCTCCCAGAGCAGGACTCGGGCGGGCTTAACCCAAAAGGAGGGCCAGGGGCCCAATGCCCAGATCCTTCCTAGGTCAGAGTCTTCATTGGGGAAATGGAAACCCGGCCACAGCAACAACTCAGAAGACGAAACCAAACCGTGCCGCTCTGGAGAGCGTCGGCTCCCCTTCAGGCTGAAGGTTCAACAACCCAGAACACAAATAAGATACCAGACGTCAAACACGTCAACAGTTGTAATACAACCCGGGCAGCAGAGGACAATTCTGGGGAAGGTGTGAGAGGCGGTGGGGAAAGCTGCACCCCCAAAAGGCTCTCTGGAAGCCAAGGTGGCGTCGGCGGCAGGAAGAGAGGGTGGCCTCTCATGGCCGCCCCCAGCAGGCTTGACAGAGATGGCAAGGGCCCTACAGGATGTGCCCCAGGGCCCGGCCAGGCCCCTCAGGGGTGCAGTTGCCGATGGCCCCCGTCCCACTCAACAACTCGTGGGCGAGACCCCCCTCAGATGGCAAGGGCCCTACAGGATGTGCCCCTCGGGGGTGGGGTGGGGGTCCTGCAGTTGCCCAGCGGCCTCCTCCCCCCTGTTTCTCCTTGCCCACGTGCCCCCCCTGCGGCTACCTTGCGAGGGGATGGTGTCCTCGGAGCAAGAGGGCGTGGTGGTCTGGGTGCTGTAGCCGCTGGAGTACTGCAGGGAGTCCCGGCTGCTCTTCTGGTGCTCCAGGCTGAGGCCCCGGGTCAGCACCATGGCCAGGTCGCTGGCAGCTGGGGACACCTCCTCCCCGTGCTAAGGGGCCGTTGGGAGAAGGGAGTCCGTCAGAAGGACGCCTGGCCGGCACACACACACACACCCCTCCGGCCTCCTGAGCCTGGGCTCTGGCGCCCAGGCCACAACCCCCCCCCCCGGGGACGAAGGGACTGCCATTTAAGGAGCAGGCCGGGGGGGGAAGGCAGGCGGTCAGCTGCCTGAATGGCCCGAGGGGAGGGCGCAGAAGCACCTGTGGTGTGCGATCATGCCTGGAGAAACACCCACCCCCGAGCCCAGCCGGGAGGTACCTTGGCGGCGATGGAGGCCGGAGACATGCGCGGCCGGGGGGCCCCTTCCTCCAAGCCCAGGCCCGGGTAGCCCAAGGCGGAGGAGCCGATCTCGGCCTCTCGCAGGTGCTCCACGCGGTCCTTCCGCCGCTGCAGGGTGCTCGCCATCGGTGGCTCGTAAAGGCTGGCCTTGGACCAATCCTGGAAACACCCCAAAGCAGACGATGGGCTGAAGGGGGCCAAGAGGGACCCAGCACGGCACAGGATGTGTGGGCATGGAGGAGGGGGGGGGAGAGGGGGGGGAAGGACCGTCCAAGGACATTCCTGCCAAACGATTCATTACGTGGTGGTTGCTTCGGATTGGTAAGAAAGCAGTGCAGAACTTGGGGGAAAAACCCTGTCAAAACCCCACTTAACATCTTCTTTTATAAAGTAACCTCTAAAAGGAGCTGCAGAGGGTGACTCATTTCACGGAGCCGCCTCCGCCCTTCAAAACGGCGAAATGGGTTTTGGCACGTGGCTTGGCTGCGCCACTGCGAGAAGGGGCTCCGCTGATCTTGCTCGCTGCATCCCCTCTTCCGTGGACCGTCCCAAGGCCGCCCTCTCCCCTGGCCCCCGACCCTCTCTCTGGGAGGCACGAATCCAGCCTTCCGGCAGAGGTGCTCGGTGGGAGAGGGGGGCTCTGCGCCTCCCTGTCAAAGGAACCCAGGACCTCCGAGGAAGGTGCCAAGGGCCTCGAAGAGAAGGCGAGGCCGCCCTCTGCCAGAGGGAGCCCCGGGCGGGACTTGATGGCGCA